AGCTCGTCTACTTCCTTATGCCTTCATTAATAAACGGCGTTGAATTTCTCCTCATCTGTCGTACGGGCGGATGTTGTGTGATTCGACATTAAGCTTGTGGGTTGGGCGATGTCGCGGGATTCCCTCGCATTCTGAATGGGAAAAGGCGAACAAAATTCTGGCATGGGTTAGTTAAGAATTCACAATACTTACTTGGGTTAGGAGACCATTGCCGATATAGGCTTTTCTTCGTTAAGATCGGTTTCGTCCAATTGGACTGGGTCGAGATCTTCGACCGTTGCTTTACAGGCTTCCACGACGTCGGGGTCTTTCGATGGGTCCCGTTGTCGGTTGACTTAGTCCCGACACGGCTAATTGCTATGCCTCCGCGCTCGCCCCCTTAGACCTGTTGGGATGTGGGGCGCAGTCTTGGGCTATTTTGTAGCATTCTTTGTGCGGTGCGTGGCTTCGCCTCGATACTGAAATACAATACATGGGGTAGGGAATTGATCACTTGGTAGCAGGCTTGAAAGGGACCCTCGCATGGCGTGTATCCACGGGCGTCCTATGATGAGTTGTTAAACGCCGTTTCTTGTTCATCACGATGGAAAGTTTGTTTCCAGCGTGACTCCTCCTGCTAAGACGGCAGTGCTATTTCTCCGGACGTCCGTTCCACTGCATTGGTAAAACCGGTTAGTGTTATGCAGCGCGGGTTTATTACCTATCCTCGAGTCTCATTTGTACGAGGACCTTGGTGGATAATACAGGGCCACTTCGTCATCGATTCTGACTCCTTTTAACATCCGTATCAGCGATATGTAAATGATAACTAAAGCATCATAATGAGGGATAAGACAAACCGTCGGCAATCAGACTTATCGAAGGTGATACTATCTTCGAAGTCGTCATACGTTCATGGGCGATGGTCCGCTTTAGTTTTGTGTGGTGCGAACTTGACATGATTGACTCACTGACTTCGTCGCCGCCTCCGACGATCATGTTTATCGGTGCGCGCTTGGGAAGGTGGCTTGGCGGCCCGAGGGGTTGTTCTCGTCGCCGTGCAAAAGTTGACTTTCCCTTTGTCGCTGAGTAATTCCTCAGGTATCCTTGGTTTCAGCAATCTGACCACCTCTTTCCGTAGGCCTATGCAGTCTTCGGATTTTGTGTCCCTGTTTCCTATGGAACTCACATAGGGCGTTTTGATTTCCTTGTCCAGAAGGGTCTGATTTCATTCAATCTTCTGCGGCATTACACCTTGGTGCCCCAACTTCTCTAGTGCGTACACTATTTCTGAAGAGCATACACAAAATTATGGAGCGGTTTAAAAAGGGCGCGTACCTCTTCATTCGGATGGGGCGACAGTCGCTCTGTACAGCTGCGTCTTGAATCCTTGTGTGCGCGATGGGAGAATCTGGTATATCTGTATTCGACTCCTCTGTGGAGCGAGGACGTTGTTCGATCGTCCGTCCTTCGTTCCCGCTCGATACTCTCTACTCGTTTCCTGATGTAATGCTTGTAGTCGTTGGGTTTCGGCCCATTAACATTAAGATCGTCCTCGTCCGCTCGTACCTCGGCGCAATAGGCGTTGTGGATTTCCTCCCATGTGGTAGGGGGATATTTCATGAGGCGGCTCAGCAGCTTTTTGGTTGCCCTTGAACCATCCCTGCTTAGCCCGTTCTGGAAAGCGGCGACTGCCATACCTTCCGATACGTTTGGTAGACTCATCCTTACCCTGTTAAACCTTGCCAGGAAGTCCCTGAGTCCCTCTCCTGTGGTTTGCCTGACGGCGAAGATGTCGTTGACCCTGGCCTCCGCTTTCTTCGCGCCTGCATGGGCTGTGACGAACTTATCCGCCATTTCCTCGAACGTTGATATTGCCTTAGCCGGTAGCTGAGAGTACCATGTTAAGGCCCCTCCTGTCAACGTCTCGCCAAACTTCTTCAGCAGTACCGACGGTACCTGTTCTTTCGATAGATCATTGCCTTTCACTGCGGTGACGTAGTGGATCAGATGATCCTCGGGATCTGTGGTTCCGTCATATACCCTCAAGTAGGGTGGCATCTTGAAGGTTTTTGGGGTGGAGTGAGGGGCAGCTTCTTCAGCGTAAGGTTGTTCAACGAACCTTCCCACGTCACGTTTTGGTAGCAACTTGGGAGCACCGGGGATCTTGTCGACCCTCTCCTGATGTTCCTTCATCTGGTCGCGGAGCGCCTTATTTTCATTTTCCATTTCTTCCATCTTTTTTAGGATGGCTGTTAGCGTGCCATCGTTGGTCTGTGTCTCGATGGGTTTGTTATTCGCTAGTGCAACTTCCGGTTCACCCACGGCAGCAGTGGTACCTACCATTGGTGTACACCCGATGTTACTTTGTGGTGACCTCTCAACCAAGCCACTTAGAGTGCTTGTTAGCCATCTTTCCAGTAGCTCTTTGATCGCTGAGGGTGCTTCCGTAGCCGCAGATGTGGAAGCTCCTTTTTTTGTGCAAGATCGTCAGACCTTCGGATGGGGAAGGTGAGATCTCTGCACCTGGTGTGATGCTAGGGGTTGCGTTCAGGATGCCATCGTCACTGGCCTCGTTGAGAGGGCTAAGGAGATTGGTAGTGACACCCAATATAGCTTTCGATCTTGTGTTATTTTCGTCCATCTTCTGTTTTTGTGTGGTGTAGAGAGTGGTAGTTAGTTGACCTCTAGGTGGATACTATGGTTTTGATTCTCGAAATCCCCACAGACAGTGCCAAATTGTTTGGCTCAAAAGTTAACGATATACTTTGTAAGCTAAAAAACAATTAAAAGTAGGAAAAAAGGTAAATCGTAATCAAATATAATAATCCTAGAGATGCAAAGATGATAATATTGTTGTAGATCTAGTATTGCAAAGTAATAATATGAACTCAATAAGATATGTTCGTTTGAAGTAGAGATAGAGAGAGAAATCTAGAAAAATGAGGGAGTTGTATTATATCAGATGCCCCTCTTACAATGTAAGGGTCTCCTTTATATAATAAGAGACCCTCCTCGAAAGAATCAAAAAGTTACAAAGACGGGTAACGTCTCCCTAGTGAAGACACTGAGTCCTAAACGATGTCGCTTTTGTTCCCACGGCCGAGTCGTACCCGCTACGTTAGTCGGCGTATACTCACTAGGGGTACCCACTGGCATAGCGATGCTGAGGGTCAAATTTGACCCTATACAGTACCTATATAGCCTTTTCTTCAGTTATATCCAATTTCAGTTCTGCTTCCAACTACCGATGGTAGAAGACTTGGATGTATGATATAATTATCCTATAAATAAAAATATTGAGAATCATGTCGTACGGTGAGAAAAATAAAAAAGTTCTCCCTTCCTCTTTACCTCTGTTGGCTATTTTCTTGTTCCACTTGTTGTTTTAAGCTAATTTCTTTAACATAATCGAATAAACAAGTATATTTGATCTCATTTTGATTTTGATACTTACTACTACAATTTAGCCAAGTTGAGCTGAGTTTACTGGATATATATCTTTGGCGAGTCTAATTGGACACAATCCAAGTTAAACCATGTGAAAGTCTGGAGCAATTAGTTTATCTATGCCAACTTAATTGACCCATATGAAAATGTTGAAACATGAAAAATAAATCTCTTTTATTAGATATAATTATGATGAGAAAAATGTTTGCTTTTTTAATTAGTTTGGTAATTAAACAAATTAGTTCTATCTAAAAATGATTTTTGAGTTAAGACGGATTTGATCACTAACTTATTATTTAGTTAAAAATTATCTATCTCTTCTTGCCCTAAAAGACTTTAAGCGAATTATAACTCAATATATAATGTTGCAACTTGTTCTAACTCATCCAAAAGTTTAGGCAAAATACATAATTTACCCCTTGAACTTGAGGCCAAATCCCTCTTACACAAGTTTTCAACACCGACAACCTTTTACATGCTTAACCTTTTCAAAGTTTCTCTAAGATATATCTGTTCGGTGTTTGACCACTTTGTTCCCAGCAAGTGTCTGTCACCAATGTATGTCACACACCCATTTATTGTGTAGCACAGATTGAGGCAGGTAAAGTTGGGCGGCGACAATGGAGGATGGTGGCGGAGCAGCAATAAAGGAATGGTGAAGATGGAGGCCCAAACTTTTTAAAAAATAAATTTAAGATTGATTAAAAAATTTGATGAAAAACGAAGACAGATAAAAAAATATAAGAAAATGAAAAGAACTGAACACATGGCGTCAATTTATAGCTCCATGCACACAAAAAGTTAATACTCGCTTTTATTGGGTGTAAATCACGCAATGCCAGGTGAGCAGAAGTGGTGTGATTTTTACATACTTTTAGAAGATTGTGTATGCAAAAAGTTACCCGTATTGAAGGAGCGTGTTATAGGGATTTGACACCAAGGTAAGGGGGTAAACTATGTATTCTGCCTCAAGTTTAAAATGATTTAACTCCTCTTGCCCTAGAGGACTTTAAGCCAATTCTTGTGTCTCACTCTTTTCCGTACGTTGTGTTTAGAAGTGATCTATTTTATAGAAAATCTCTATATATACAAAAAATATATAAATTTTATATATTATTTTGGTTATTATTTTACAGCAGCTATACAATGTCATTTTCCATTATAGTATAATGTCACATAAACTAAGACAGGACTAAAAATAATCTACACCAACTGAGAGGCAAGTAATTTACTGTATTTTTGAAGAGGGTGCAGCTACAAATATTCCCGCTGAAATCCTTGTCACCACAACACCTAAAGATTTGTAAAAGCTATATTTCTGTAGAATTTCAGCTATAAAGGGGGTGTAAGTGCTTGATCTAAAAATACATGAGCTCTATCTGTATCCCACCCCATATTACATGGGTGCTTAATGCAATTTACCCTATAATAATATGGGCAATACTTATAGCTGGACAAGGAAAAGTGCGAAGAAAATTGCACCTCTTAGCAATCTTGAAAACAAGGACAAAATAAGGGGGGTGG